GATATAATACATGTTGAAATTTTCATTATTTTGTATAAAAATTTCTGCTATCTTTAGCAGTATGTGATATCAGCTTGTTATTCCTATAGCAGGCTGTGTCATAACGATTGAAACGTTCACGACAAGGTCTTTGTAAGTACCTATCGGCAGAAGTGAATAACGCACTCTTGTTACAATCCCATGACTGATGTCTGATATACCAACAGTGTAGGTGAAGTTATGGTAGTGGACAAGCGTACACTCCTGCAAATAGACTAGTTTATATGCGTTCGTATTAGTTATCGACAATATCACTACCTCTGTGGGAACGTGCTATAGCTAAATATGCATGTATGTGTACAAATGCTGTGGATGTAATATCCATGATGGATGATGTTCTAGAAGGATAGGGATATACGTTGTGAGCTTGTCATTCCCTCCTTGACAATGGATGTATTGGGCATGACCGTAGTCCCCAAACAATGCCCTTGTTTTCTTCAATCTTATAAACCTGTTCAAAACCAACACCGACCGCGTTTAATTCACGCCTTTTGGTCCGGAATCAACCCTATATTCCCACGAATGCATTTCCCAATGTGTGCTTACTGCACTAATTTAATCCTTCCGACGCCGAATCATCACACTTGCGCAGAATCGCCGCACATCTCTGCTTCGCAGTCGGAGTAGTAGCAGCGCTTCCAAAGACGAGCGCGCCAAAGACATGAAGGATGACAAGGACGAGAAACTGGTAGAGGCGTCGACGGAACGTGAAAAGAACAGATCGAGGGTATGTCTGGCTGTGCCTTGTCTTAGCTGTGTGATCATTACAATGGGCTGGTGGTGCTTGTGGTGGTAAGGTGTATTCCGGTAGTATAGGTTTTCTTGTGAATGGAGGTGTCTATGGAGAGCACCGGATTGGAAGGTCAAGGGTGCATATGTTATATACATATTGGTGTTGTGTCATCTGGGAGTTACATTTTTGGGTTTTTGGGGCTCTGAAGTACTCCAAAATGCTTAAGATACAGTTAAGCGCTGCACGCAAGTGTGTGTTTTTTATTGATTTATAGTTCGCTTATGTGGAGCGTCTGATTTCCTGCAATACGTTGGCTCCCCCGTTGATATATATATCATTCATCACGGTCGTCCTACTACAGAACTGTAACTCCATATCCATTCGAATATTTGATTAACTGCGGATTAGTCACATATATAGCGAGTATTGCTAAACTGCTATACTCCCAAACCCATATAGTACTGAGGCCCGCACTAATCCTCAGCGTTGCATATACTTTGCAGGCAAATTCTTCTATGCAGCCTAAGATTCAGAACCTGGATACAGGCGAGTCCATCTCGCTGGACAAGATCATCATTAAGACATCAGAGCCTACGATCAGCAACCATGCTCACTGATTAATTGCCTTTGCTGGGCTTATTGGAACGTGTCCTGTTGTACAAACAAACGTTCCGAACATAACATCGCTAATCGACCTCGTAATAAGAGAGAGAATAAATTTATTCGTCCCGATTTATATGTATATATATAT